CACGGCTCAAGGCCAGAGTATAGTCAGGAGCAAGTCCGCCTCCTTGCTCGACGATCACACCCTTCAAGTCTACCCATGCTCGGACCCGCTAATTTCCTCCATCCCCCCCAGCAGCACCAGCAGGTACCCAGTGCCCCCCAGCGGTGCCGTCGGCACTTCGCCGCCTCAGTACAACGTCCAGTACTCAAGCAAAGATGGCATGTGGGCCCAGAGGACACCCGTGCCACCGGAGCGCCAAGGCTACCTCCCCACTGCCGCCCATTCGCTCGCCAACACCAACTACTCGAATCGGAATCAGGCACCGCCCTACCCGCCGCAGCCCCAGCAAAGAGGCCTCGCTGCGGGATCCAAACCTCCAGGGGACATGTGGGCCAATGAGAGGCTCCACTCTACCAGCAACCAGTCCAGTGGAGGCACTCTACAGCGGCAGAGCAGCGCCACCTCCGTAGGCGAGCCTCGCCGCATGCAGTTGCCCGAGGGCGACTACCTAACCTACCGGGACATTCACACCCTTGCCAGGGGACCACTGGCCATGAGTCAGGCAGCGCAGCGGCCCATATCCACCCGCACGTACAGCATTGACATAGCCGCTCCAATCAGGCCGCCCAGCGTCCGGTCACAACCGCACGAGCTCCCGGAGAGGACCATGTCGGTCAGCGACTTTCACTATGCTCACAGCAGCCCCAGTAAGAGACCTAACGTCAGGGTGAAGTCGGAGCACTCGCTCCTGGACGGGCCCGGCCTTGTGTCGGGGACACCGGGAAGGGTGCCGGCCGACTGGAGAGACCAAGTGATGCGGCACATTGAGGCAAAAAAGATGGAAAAGGTAAAAAAAAATCAAATAAAAAAAAAAAGAGAGAGAAAGATTTAAAGCTGAACTACACTTATAACACCGACTCGGTGATTCACAACCTTTCTTCAGCCAAGTCACATAATTCATATTTAAAAAGTCTCATGGCACACCACCAGACAAAAATAATCACAAGGTATATATTGTGGAACTCACTCGTGTGTTTTTTATGCCCTTTCTATAATGCTCTAAGATGCCAACAAAGTCCTGGGCCACAGGAAAATTAATAATTGGTGCCGTGGATGAAAAAAAAAAAATAGAGAGATAAAAGCACAGCTTTACTGCCATCTAAAAGCTCCACCTGTTCCTTTTTTAAGATAGTATTTGAGGTGAGGGGTTTATCGCTGCTTTTTGTTTTTGAGGAAAGAGAAAGATTCCTCTCTTTAGCCATGCTTGAAGCCTTTGTTCTTTCTTGCATGTGTTTGTGCATGTCTTTGGGTGCGTTTGCACGGCCGCCGCTGACGTCGTGGGGTGGCGCCGCCGTTCAGAACGCGCTGTCCCGCTCCTTTAATTCTTATAACGCTCCGCTCGGCTGCTCGCCGCACCGCAGCTGCTGCTACGGCAGCTGTAGAGACGTATTCAGGCCCTACGTCGCCTTCAGCGTGAGTACCATCCGGCGGCCATTGCCGCGCCGCAAGCCTTACCCCCGTCCGTGTCTCCTCTCCCGCTTCACTCCGCAATCATCTGACACTTATAGGCGTGTAAGTGAGAGTATGTTGGAGTTGTTCACCGGCGCATGCCTTTGGAGCACTCCGCTCACTCCCCGCCATTGGACTTGTGCAACGGCGGGGAGTGAGTGGAGTGCTTAACTCAAGTAATGACATCACTTGCTGGATTATTATTAGTATCTTGCTTAACGTTGATAGTTTTAAGACTTGAAACTTTCTCACACGCCTGGTATAGAGGCAGTAGAACATTAATCAAAGGCAAAACAACAACAATAGGCCCCATGAAGCTCGCATTCATGTTCAAATGAATGATTATCACGCATGGATGATGATGTCATCAGCATCTCGCCATCTTGTGACATCATCATGATTGTCTTTTAAATTCCCTCTGCTGCTTGCTTGGTCGTCCACTTGCACCTTTGCGTTTTGGCCTGAGAAGTGTCTTTGAGTGCTTGCGGTAAGGTAAGTGTCGCTAGAATCAGTAGAGGAGAGATTGATATTCTGTAATGGTATTCTAATAATGCAGCTGCATTTCCACCTCAACTTCCAGGTACTTGGTTCTTGGTCCCTCGTAGTTCTTGAACTTTAAAGCTTCTTTTTGGATAAGTTCAGCAATGCAGATAACATCCCTCAGGATGTCGGCCCGACCTACGTTCTCCAAAGATTCCTGTGGTGGAAATGCATTTACATGTAGTGTGCAGAATACATGTAGTGTGCTGCTCAGCTTGTCAGTAGAATTCAGACGCTCAGCATGTAGATAGAAGGCAGACGCTCCCTTCAAGTAACTTTTCACTCATCAATTCCACATTGTCTGTTGTCATTGTGTTTAATATATGAGTTGTGTGAATAATCAACTCGGTGTTGTCTCTCGTAGGACGACGTGTTTGGTCCACCTGGGCAGCAGAGCTACACCATGGACTTCCGCAGAAAAGTAGGTAGACATCCCTCGCATCCTCTTTTTGTTTTTTTTTGGTTTTTTCCCGTGTTTGACTTTATGGTAGAACGTGGCCGTCAATCTACTATATCAGTCATTACCACTTCCTTCCTGAATGTTATGACCGCTGTGCCCTTGGTGACAAGAAGCTTTGACTTTGACGTTAGCGTGTGTTTTGTTGTGCCAGGTGCCTCTGATGAACGGTCAGGTGGTCCCGTCCGCTCGTCCTCACGTGAGTCAGACGTCCATGGTCCGCCATCCCTCCAGAGAGCAGCTCATCGATTACTTGATGCTCAAAGTCTCTCAGCAGGCCCCGCGGCCACCGCACGAGGTCAGTTTGGACGTTACAATCGACCAGCTGTTTAATGAACACCAAGCGTGAATATTCTGAATTAATTAATTTAAAAAAAATACGAATCAACATTTGCATTGCGTTTCAGATCCATGTGAAGGTGGAGAAAAATCCAGAACTTGGTTTCAGTATATCTGGAGGAGTTGGAGGTCGTGGAAACCCCTTTCGTCCAGATGACAATGTAAAATTTCTCCCCGTACAGAATGTGTGTGCATTAAATCCCGAGAAATTGTGAAAATAATAAACAAACAACGGCAGAGGATCAAATTATATCTGTATACGATGTTTAAGTAGAATAATATAATTGATCTGATCCCTGCTTTCAGGGCATCTTTGTGACCAGGGTCCAGCCCGAAGGTCCGGCATCCAAGATTCTTCAGCCTGGTGATAAAATTATCCAAGTATGTCACCATTCCATTATGACATGTTTCAGTTGCCTCGATCAGGGGTGTTGATCGTGTGTTTTTTTTTTTTGTGTTGCCAGGCGAATGGCTACAGCTTTGTGAACATCGACCATGGAAACGCCGTTTCCCTCCTCAAGACCTTCCCCAGCACTGTGGATCTGACAATCGTGAGAGACGTCCAAGCGTAAATGGCAACGGGGGCGGGTGGGGGTGGAAGCGGGAGAGTTATTTTTGTACACAAGAAACTTTGAATGTAAGCGTGTTGACGCAGTGGTCGAGAGGACTGTCACTGTGTTTTGGTGTTTTTTTTTTTTCCTTCCCTCCCCAAAGAAAAAAAGGCTGCCGAAGACTTGAGCTGCCCTTCTCTCCGTGACCACTAGGGAGCAGGCTGTTGCCCCCATTTCCCTTTTTGTATTTTTTGCGGGGAGCATGTTGAAGCAGCAATAGAGCCGTATGACATTACAATGTTACATGCTTAGAGAGTGGACGTGAAATTCAGACACGCAGCCTATCTCAGCTTTTTATTCCACGTGACCAACGCAAGGATGGTAGTAGGAGTTTTCCAGTCAGAGCTGGTCCACATTTAATCCTTTTTTTGCCTTTATTTTAAAGTTTGTTCGCACATTCGTTTGGGAGAGCGCCACTTTTGCCTTTTTTTTGGGGGGGGGAACCATTCCCGTAGATTTGACTCATGCGAAGAGAAAAGCAAGTGCCATAAGAAGACCTTGAACTGTTTCAACAAGCAATATTCACACTTTCCAGCAATAAAGCCTTTTTTTTTCCACCTTTAGATTTTTTTAAAACCCTTTTAGTAACACCACCGATGATTTTACATGATTTTATAAATGGACAAGAGAGTTTTGTAATGAAATAGCACATGAAATCTATATATATTATAAGTATAAAATAGTGTGGAGAAGAAGAGTCTGTGCGTTTTGTGTAAATGTGTCACTTTTATCAATTGTAGTTGAAGGCGGGTCAGCAAATGACGAAAGGATGAGCATGTTTAACATCTTGTTTGTTTGAAATTGTGCCGTTTATATACATGTCAAACTGTTGTCTTTTTGTCGACAATCTTGGGAAACTATTGATCTTTGTCCACGTGGATCTGTTTGGGATGCTCACGTCTTATTTATTTTTAGCGGGCCAATTCTGTTTTTTTTTTTTCAATGTTCGTAATCAAAAAGTGTAAATATGTACGCACACAGCTGAATTTGTTTTTTTTTCCAATTGTACAACCAGCAACAACAAGTTCCAACAGAGAGAGAGGGCACCTGTGTTCACATGTAGCTAGTATATTTCTATTGACCACAGACGTGCATCCACATGGCATTCCGGATTTTGTACATAATGAATCGTATCTGGCCTAACACCTGTGGAAAATTAAACCATGCTCTTTCACACTGTGCATAATTGGTTTGGTCATTTTCATTAAAACGTTTCCAAGACTTACATGGCCATTTTATTGAGAATGCTTTATTTCCAAATTTCAAGTGGTTTACAATAACATTAAATGTAGTTTTTAGGAATGAAACTCATTTTTGATTAACACTTAGGTCTACTACTGTGACTGTATTGACCATGCAGGTGGTGTAAGGAGAGTATTCTGGTGCTTTTTGTGTTCAAATATGATTACAACCCACTTCGAATGTACTTGAAACGTGTGGCAGCTGTATCTTTTGATTTATTTTTTGTAGAAAGTCTACCGTTAATTTTCTGATAAGCGTAGATCTGGAATGTAAACTACGACCTCCACCGTCAGGGGGCGGTAGTGGGCTTCAACCTTACTAAGGTATCTCATTTTTCCAGTCAAAAGAAGCCAGCGAATCTTTCCTCCTCCGACGTAAAAAAAGACGAATAATTACTCGGCGGATATAAACATTTTGGGAGTCTTAAATACGTCAGTTTTCACGATGAGCGGGATCCCCGGGACTGCCGTCGTCCAAGTGACCAATCTGTCTTCCGCGGTGAGCAGCGAGCAGCTGCGCACTCTCTTCGGCTTCCTCGGGGACATCGAGGAGCTGCGGCTCTACCCACCCGAGTAAGAGCGATGTGCGGCGGCTCGACAGGATCAGGCGACACCGCGGCTGTGCCGCTCGCGCTTGGTCCTCGTTATAAAAGAATTCCTAAAACCAACATATAACGACGTCACAGGTGATTGTTTTCAATCTTTATAATTTCCTCCTTTTTGTTGCCCTCCCTTTAGCAACACCACACTCTCCTTCTCGTCCAAAGTGTGCTATGTCAAGTATCGAGAATCTTCCAGTGTTGGTGTGGCGCAGCATCTCACCAACACTGTTTTTATGGACAGAGCCCTCATAGTTGTACCCTGTGCCGAAGGTGAGTTCGAACTAAAGGCCTCAAAATGTCTGTTGACTTCAAAATGACCTTCCTTTCTATTCAAATATTCGCTCTTGCGGTTGACTTGTGGCAGTTTCTTAATTGGTTATTACTGAATAGCATGCGTGCACGTAGCTTTTACGTTCCATTGTGTGGATGCTGAAAGTCACACACTCCCAACCCCTTTCCGCAGTATAAATGACTTTCTCAGTTTCAATTATTTTAATATTCGAAATGCACGACGACTTCCGGTCAAGGCAACATGGTGCAGTCGTGGTTAGCACGTCAGCCTCACAGTTCTGAAGTTCGGGGTTCCAAACTCAGTTTCCTGAATAATGTGTGGCGTTTGCATGTTTTTTTCCCCAGTACTTGTTTCTTTTCTCAGAGCACTCTTCCAAAACATACATATTAGGTTCACAGAAGACTCTAAATTGTCCATCAGTGAGTGTGAATTCTCTACAGTCCTTGCCACAAAGCTATCCCAGGTTAATTCAAAACAAAATTGTCCAGTGATGCTAACATGAGTGTGAATGGTTGTTTGTGTATGTTGTTTGTCTCTATAAGGGCTGCAATTGCCTGGCAACCAGTCCAGGGAGTACCCTGGCTTGCACTTAAAGTCAGCTGGGATAAGCCTCGAAAAAAGCAGGCTAGAAAATGGCTGGATGGATACTCATTACACTTGACTACATACTGTACAACACATTGCAAGACTAATATGGTGAACATTCATTGTTTGCATGTTTTCTGGGTCAAAGTGACCTGTGGGTGTTTTTGGTGTCGTAAAGAAAGCGGTTAAAAGATGGTGTACGTTTCACTTCCTTAGCCGTACAGATAGTGTGGACTAGGGCTGAACGATTTTTAAAAATAATCATCTTTTTTCCGATTTAATATGCACTTCTTTCTTCAGGGTCTTCTTCCCATGTATTTGTTAAAAGGGGATTCAACCCAAACTTGCCATAATTGAACCCGTATTATAATAAACAATCTAACGTTTATTATAGATAAGATGTTTTAGTCTTATAGGTTAGGTTCATGCTAAAATAAAGGCAAATGAACCATGAATTGACATGAACATGTTTATCTACTTCCGAACGTATTTAGACGCGAGAAAGATAAATAAATGAAATATACATCAGGAGTAGACTAAAATAAAGCATACCCACCAAAGCTCCTAATACGCCATAACCTGTTTTTGTGGGGGGGCACTGCTACCTCCTCCAGTTTTTTTCCCTCCTCCCCCTGTCAGCAACACAAAAGTAGACGTTGCTACCTGGACGGACTTGATTAATTTGGCTTTTTGTTTGTTTTCTGTGTGATTATGTGTGCATATCAGATACACGACCACACTACTAAGCCTGAGTCATTGAGGCATTGTTAACCAGGCCTACGTCCTCGATGACGGGGCAGGGGGGCCCCACGAGGCGTCAGTGATCATGAGACCAGGAGCCCTCCAAGATGGACACCTTGTCTCTCTTTTTGTTTTTTTTTTCTTTTCATACATTTTATCCCCCCACCCCATGTTCAACTTCTGCTGTCTCAAAAAGGTGGTTCTCTCTCTCTCTCTCTCTCTCTCTCTCTCTCTCTCTCTCTCTCTCTCTGTGTCTGTCTGTCTGTCTGTCTGTCTCTGGAGCGTCCGTGTTTTTATATTTGTTTTTTTGTTGTTATTTTTATTATAGTGGTACCTTGACTGACAGGTTCCATTTACACCATGAAATTAATTGATACTCTATTAATTTGTTCAAGCACCCCCCCCCCCATTATAATGTGAAGAACGAAACATTTTGTGATCATGATAATTTCAGGGGGCATTATGTTCCTTCTTCTGGTGTGCGCACCTTGGCCACCAAGGGGCAGTTTTATACACGCATACCTGTACATATAATCTTTGATGACGAGACCTGAGGAAGACTGTCACAAGTAAACTGCAGTGATATTGGTTGTTTTTCGCACAATTGAAAGAAAATGTTCCTGTGAATATTATTATATACTCTGTCTTTATGTGTTGCTCCACCTTTTTTTTCTCCAAATATCATTTGTTTAAAGGATAATAATGTTAATACTCCGGCAAAGATAAGCTAATTTTGTTCGCTCTTCTGACTTTTGCATTGCGCTAGCATCAAGCTAGCCAACTTTCTTAAGATGAAGTTATGTGGTTTGGTTTCAATAAGTCAAGGCACCACTGTCTTATTATTATTATTATTATCATTATTGTCCAACCCTCCCGCCCCCCCATACACCCCTTATCTCTCTCTCTCTCTCTCTCCTGCTGCAGCTTGTTTGTGATTGAGCCGGCATGATGATGCGGCGGGATGCTAAGAGGGAGGATGACTAACACTTGCTTCTCTTGTCGTTGCCGTAGTGACAGAGAAAGCGAGCTAGAGTGAGAACATCTTCTGACCTCTTCTCAAGCCCACTCGGACGTTTTGTAGCTCATGTGGATGCTCGCCATTATGATTAAATAGTCTTTAAATTGATGATGATGATGATGTGTGACGCAGACCTGATTTCAATGGAACACGGCGGTGCCGTCGTCGGGCCTGTGTCACCAAGCCACCGTTGCTGACTCGTGCGACAAACTGCACAATTATAAAGAGTGTACCTAATGAAGTGGTCCATCTCTTCATAGCTCAGAAGCTTCATATGTTACCGCCGTTACTATGGCAACAGTGTGCTTGTTGGCACAGGCCCCCTGCTCCGCACCAAGGAGAGCAAGATAGTTTGTTGTTGTCGCTGCGTCTAATGTGTGTTTACCGCCATCGCCGGGATTGCCTTGTGTTGCCATCTCACAAACACACGAGCACACACACTTGTCCCCGCAGCATTGAGCACACATTTCACAAGCAACATATTTCAAGTTCAGGTGATCAACACATCCAAAAAGTGTTGACACACAGCGATGGTAGAGTATTTTAGCTTGTGGTAAGATAAACAGTTAAGATATTAGAAGACGTGTCTACTCTGTGTGTGTGTGTATGTGTGTGTGTGTGTGTGTGTGTGTGTGTGTGTGTGTGTGAGAGAGAGAGAGACAAAGGCGCGGGGATGTTTTGTTTTTGCTGTTTTTGGAGCAGCTGCTATTTGTGTGTACCCTGCAGGGAAGATTCCGGAAGAGGCCAAGGCCTTGTCGCTTTTGGCACCCTCTGCCCCCGTGCACAGCTTGCTCCCCGGCAGGGGTCTGCTCCCCATCCCAACACCCACCCCGCTGCAGAACGTGAGTTGTACACAAGCTTCTTCCGCATTGTATATATTACCATGGGCAGCTGTCTCATCAAAGCTAATGCTAAGCATGGACATTAGCTTAGCATTGCCGTAATTAGCAGTGGGCTCAAAATGGACAATCCTTCCTCCAATCAGTCTTTTAAATCAAGGTTCCCCTGTACATCCCAACCGGAAATGTATATTAGCTATTCTGGCCACTCTGGTTAATTGTACCTTGTACTGTACCCTACCGCCACGTGCACGCAGTTGAGCCTCCCCCTGGTGGGCCATGTCACCACCCCCCTGGACCCCGCCGCTGCCTCGCTCCCCCAGCCTCCCCTCATGGGCAACGTGGACCCCACCAAGGTGGACGAAATCAGGAGGACAGTCTACGTAGGCAACTTGAACTCACAGGTGAGTCCTGGCCATTAACAGATCAACCAATCACCGCTGTCACACAGAGTTTGTGGGAAAAAAATGGCGATCGCCTCCAAGATTTGCGTGCAGTGAAATCCCCTGTGTTGTTGTAATTTGATGGTGTTCCGTTTACAGACGACGACGGCAGAGCAACTCCTGGACTTCTTCCAGCAGGTCGGCGATGTGAAGTTTGTGCGCATGGCGGGTGATGAGACGCAGCCCTCGCGCTTTGCTTTTGTGGAGTTCGTCGAGCAGGATGCTGTCGCCCGGGCGCTCACCTTCAACGGCGTCATGTTTGGAGACCGGCCCCTCAAGTACGTACAGTTTTTCCTGGCTCAAATTGAGGCAGATTTGGTCCCGTAAATCCAATTTGTGTAAACTTGAGAGCTTTTCGGATTTCAGCATATGAGGTGGTGTATTTGTGTAAAAGGAGGGTGTGGCTTAAGGAGATCACACACACTAGATCAGTTAGTTTATGACCCGTCTCTTGGACTCTTGTGGGTACAGCACACCCTTGTCAAGGCATCCTATTATTCCAATTAAAGCTCAAAATAATGCTGGTCAAATAATTCTGAAGGTCATGACCCTGGTTAATGACGGTAAGCAGATGTCATTCATTTTGATACCGTCAGGGTGAACCATTCCAACAACGCCATCGTGAAGCCTCCCGAGATGACGCCGCAGGCCGCCGCCAAGCAGCTAGAGAGTGTGATGAAGCGCGTGCGCGAGGCGCAGTCCACCATCGCCGCCGCCATCGAGCCAGGTATGACGGCGGCCCACGTCCCGAACCATCGTCGCTGTCGGGGTAATCGGTTCGCCGTCTTCTGTCATCCACAGCGGAGAAGGAGAAACGCTATGCTGCTCACTCTGGGAGAACACGCCGCCCGTCGCGGTCCCGATCTCGCTCCGGCTCGCGTAGGAGATCACGCTCCAAACACGGGTGAGGCGTCCCTTTTTCAAGGGCTTTCCTGGCTCAAATTGACATGCACGTGCTTGTGTCAAATAAGTACGCAATGTGAGTTTAGCACTCTCTGTAATACACAAACTAAACTAGCTTTGTTGTCTGTACTGTGCTTCATTCAACAGAAAAAAATATTCTTTTAATGGTTTCAGGATATGTTACAATAAGGCCGATACTATTGTTCCTCTGTCGCCATGTTCTGACCACCTTTGTGCTTCCAGACCGCCGCAGAAGTGGCCAAGGAACAACGCACGCGCTTCCCGAAGTGGCCATGGTAGGCGCTCTCGCTCCAGAGACAGACGGCGGAGCCGAAGCCACTCCAGGTGGGTCCGGAATGCTCGCGCCGTTCTGTGGAAGGAACACATTTTTGACCAGAACATGCAACTCACAGGGTCCGCCGGCGGAGTCGGGGGCACTCGAGGAGCCCTCCCAGAAGGGCCAGGTCGCCCTCTCCAAAGAGGTGACTTTCAAGCAGTTGAATATGAAAAGATACAACCAAAACTAAATGTTCACCGCCTTGTTCTGACTTGGGTGTTTTCAGGATTAAAAAGCGACGCGAGCGCAGCCGAGAAGCACGGGAACGCTCTTCATCGAGGAAGAGGAGCCGTAAGGACGAGGAGCGGCCGAGAGGCAAGAAAACGCACAAGGTAAGTCGGGCACATGTTAGCCTTTTTTGCACATCGTTTACACAGGGCAGTAATCCCAAATTAATAGTAAAAAAAAAAAGTTAATTGAAATGTTTATAAATGCCACAAGATGGCGCCAAAGCACTACAGAAGCCTGCATAATAGAAGCCCCTACATTCACTTCAACAAAGCCCTTTGAGTCGAGGATGCCATAAGATGGATGTCACCAAGAAGGCCGTCTTTGATGTGCAGTGTGAAAGGGGCTACAGTTGGCTTACGATTGCGATCTGACATGGACACTGTGTGGAATGTTTCAGGTAGGACGGGATTACGACAGAGAGGCCTCGCCCTGCGAGGACGCCCGCTCGCCCCCCTTCACGCAGCACAACGGTGTCCACAAAGCACGCAGCGACGGGATGTCCGTTTGACAGCGCCCGACTGACTGACTTAAGTTGTCACTCCCCCCACCCCCGCCCGGAGGGCAAGTGAAGCGCCACAATGTCCTATTTTTGCATCTCGGGAAGCAGCGGCGAGCGTGTGAAATGGCGGTACGTGTCGCGCAAAGTTTCGGCGCGTGCTCACAAAATTGGCGGTTAACGGTGAGCCTCACTTGTCCGTTTTGGCAGCTTGAAAGGAAGGAAACACCCGTGTTTCCTGCTCGAGGCGTGGCGTTTACGAGGAGGCTTTATTTCCTGTTTTTATGGGCACGTTTACTGTTTTTAGTCCTTGTTTTGTTGCGCAGTTGTAAAAGAAAAGTGCGTGTCGGTTAACGGTGAGCCTCACTTGTCCGTTTTGGCAGCTTGAAAGGAAGGAAACACCCGTGTTTCCTGCTCGAGGCGTGGCGTTTACGAGGAGGCTTTATTTCCTGTTTTTATGGGCACGTTTACTGTTTTTAGTCCTATTATTCCAACTGTTTGTTGCGCAGTTGTAAAAGAAAAGTGCGTGCGCGAGTGTGTCGGAGGAGGGTGGTAAACCTAAACTGATAACGGCCTCGGATGCTGGTGAATCAAATTGAACACCCCATATTGTATGTCGGTACTTTTCACACAGAACAGCCAACACTGGAAAAATCTGGCTTTGATAGGCGTTTTGAAAGGGGTGTCAAACTTCACGCCCCGGCCGTGGATCCTGCCTGTGATCCTTCTCCTGGATTCAACTGGCAAGTTGACTTCCCCTGCTGTTCTTTGTCAACAACTTTCACGCAAAACAGCAATACTGTGGAAAAACTTGCTTAGACAGCCATTTACAGTTAATACTTGACACTAAAAAAAACAAAACAAAACTTTATCCTGCTTCTGTTACGCCTATGGTCCGACCTATCGGAAGCTGGCAAATGGATGGGTCGACCGCTACTTCCTGTCCATGTCATTACATTTCACACAGAACAGCAACACCAGGAAAAGACTGCATTTGACAAGCAGTGTGAAAGGGGTTTCTGATCTTAAAACACGAAAACACAGCCTCCGTCCAGTCTCGACTACTGCCGAAGCTGGCAACCTCTGAAGGACTTCATCCCCATTCTCATGTCAGTACCTTTCAAGCAGCAGAGTGACACTGGGGTAAGAGCCAGCTTTTGCTGTTTTAGTTCTAAACATTTTTGTGACACTGTTATAAAAAAAAAAAAAAGTGTTGTCCGTGTCAGACAAGGAAGTGACGCAGCGAACGTAAAGTGCCTACGCTGCCACTGTACAAAATATCGGAAACGTTTATTTACATAGCATCTAGCGCAAAGCATCGGTTACTAAAGACAAAGTCAGTATTGTCATAAATCCACAAATTATTTGATTTCTTCTATTTTTTTAAAAGAGAGCACTGATGTGATTGTGAATTTGTTTCATGTCCACAAGCTTCTATTTGACGTGATGTTTGAGTAAAAAAAAAAAAAAACACCAAAAAACGCATTTTTAAACAAGTGATTTTTTTTGTGCTTCATGCATCGCCCCCTGCAGGATTGGAGAACGATTGGATTTAATTCCTGGATCACGGTTGTGACAAATACACGTTTTCCATGCCCATCAAACGTACACGAGTGTGCACTCGACGCTAAACTGCGTCACATAGCCTTGCGCGTGAGCGCCCCTTCTTTGCCCATCATCAGCTGCTGGATGACGTCCAAGCTGGTGTATCCGCTGAAGGGGGCGGCTAAGGGAGCATCATGGGAGCTCACCACGCTCGCCTCATCAACGGCAGCCGAACGGCAGCAGGCCGATTGCTGGCATTTGGAAGGCGGCACTCGGAGCTCCACGACGAGCAGTCTGTCCACGATGCATTCTTCCAGCTTGAGCGTTTCGACGCGCTGAAGGAGCTGAAGAATACAACAAAGCATCAATGGAAGCGAATGGTGGGATTGGGTAGATTTTTCAGGGATCAACTTGAGTCATTTTCTGAGAAATTTTTACTTTCACTACATTTGAAAACACATTTGTACTTTGTACTCCTTACTGTGGTCAAATAAGCCCGATGCGTTTTTGGAGCTCTGAGAATGAGAACACTTTGTAAAAATACGACAGCGTAAACAAATATCAAGTCAACAATGATGGAGAGCATGATGTTCTATTAGGTTTATTAAAAAAATAAATAACAGACAGCAGCGACATGGGGGCATGTGAATCAGGTAGTGTATGACAAAGACGCAACAAATTAAGGGAAACAAAAGAGAATGATTCATGGCCGTTATGTTCCACCCTAAAAACCACCCTGTTCTCATGTTAGAAAAGTTTCCTATAACCTGAAAATAACAGGTAAAGTGTATTGTTTCAGTTATCATGAGCTAACTTTCCATCTTTTTTGTTTTGCTCATGCAGCACCTGTTGCGTCAGAATTAAAGGCACTGTGGCAAAGCTGGCCCATATTTCACTCCCAAAAAACCGATGTGTTTTTTTTTCCATCAGGAAAATGAAAGTAGCGTGCATTTTCAATGTTATCCATTTATTTTGGAATGGGGGGGGGGCACCATAAAGTGTACCAGGAAGGATTGCCGAGCCTCAGTAACTAACTCTGCGACAGCCCCACAACTTCGGCTCCGGAGCAGTGTGGCCATGGATTCTGGCTCAAGTAAGCCAATTTCTTTCACACCTCGACCAAAACACTTCTAAGTCAGAATTCTTGACGTGATTGGGGGGAAAAAACGGGTGAAGAATGTGTTTTCAGAAAACTACGACTAATCAAAACTCAGGCACATCTCTACCTATGCTCTCCTGTATTCACGACAAGACACTTACCGGTTGTGTGGGTGCACCGAGTTTCTGCATGGATTTGCTCCTTTCAGGGTTGGGAATATTTGGCCAAAAGACAACTTTGGCCCTGCTTGGTGGACAGGGAGTAGGCAAAGTTGATTTCGTGTTGCGTTTTCCTTTTGACTGTACAGGTGTGTGCGTTGTGTTTTACCTTCTGAGGAGGGGCGTCACCAACATGGCGGTCATCAAAACAAGGGTGGAGATGGTGAGAAGTACCGCGAGGTTAATGGAACCTCCACGTCGCGTCTCCACCAGCCTGGCGGCGCTCCGGATCCCCGGCCCGCACCGTGTGAATCCGGACACCTGGACCCGGTATGCCACCCCGCTACGGAGACCCTCCAGTGTGTAGTTGTGGACCCGCAGCCCCACGGTAATGTCTGTATGAGAACGTGGCATCAGCCGGCTGCTAATTTTGCAATATATTATCGAAATTCATAATTACTTCCAAAATTCACACTAAAATCTTCTCGTTTGCAACACTCACGGCGACTAATGAAACCTTGGGTCTTACTTCTCTCTAGCTCCCGATCCTCGGCGTAGTGGATCACATAGCCCAGCAGGAACCCGCGCCGGTTCTCCTGCGAGATAGACGACCAGCGTAGCTCCAGAGAGGACGACGTGACGGACACCACGCTGACGTTGGAAGGAGCGCTCACCGGAGCTAACAGGAAACAGGTCTTGACGCAACAGCACTGTAGCGCTATTTGTTGCTTGTGTATCAATACTGTACTGAAATGGATTCATACCATCCCGATATCTCTATTTGATATTGGTGTATTTATACTGAGATCACAGTATTGGTATCTGATGCTGCCGTATCGTTACCGATACCTAATTGACATTGTGTAGCAATGGCCATATTACTAATCAAGCGTGGTGTATAAATAGTGATATCCAGATGTCTATATCATATGCCAGCATTTCGATACCTTCAGCACGGCTTTGCTCCAAAATGTATGTGTATCAATACAAAAGTCGCAGTCTTCATATTTGACACTGCTGTTTAGATCCTGAAACCGCAATGTTGCTATTCCATACTGGTCTATCAATACTGAACTTACACAATCACTATTTGACAATGATTTGGCAACGCTGACAACATGATATCACGATGCGATGGTGGTGAATCAATCGCAAGATCGCTGACCGAGAACACAGTACTGCTCTTTAAGGCTATCGAAACTAAGACTGTGATATTGCCACGCGATAACACTTTAAGTGCTGGTCTTACGTGACATAGATCACTATATGTCTACTGGATGCAGTTGCCTCGACACGGAGATTGCGAAATCCACATTGATACTTGATAAATATTTTTAAAAAATAAAATAAAGACGCTTACATCCTTCCCGGAAGTAGAAGCGTGCTTTGGCGTAGGTGGCCTCCTGGCTGTTATTCACTTGCTTAAGGTTGCATGTTTGCTGTTGGTCACGCACGTGTAGCCAGACGTCATAGCTGGTGTAAGCCCGCAGTCGCTCTGGAAGCAGAAAGCTAACAGTCAAAACAACTGTACTACGATGGTTACAAATACATTGAATATGTATTGTATTGTATATCAACATACGATAGTACAAGTGTCACCTGGGATATCAAACAGCGTCCAGAAGTTGATGACTTCCTCATAGAAGGATTTATAGAACAGCTTTGGTGGATGTGGTCCATGGGTGGCACTCCACTCCAGACAGAAGCACTTGTACTTCTTGACTAAGTCGTCCTTCCACACCACAGTGAAGGTGGTCTGGTTGTGGACACGCACGCTCAGTCTACCGCCATCATCAGAGACGCTGTCATCGTCTTCTGGAACACACATGTTTCGGGATTGTGATACCATTAAATTGTGATATAGCAGACATCAGTATCGCGATTTCTGCATGAAGAACCCAGCATCAATGACCAATATTGTCATCTTCGTATTAATACATCTGCATTGAATAGAGGTATTGATGTTTCAGTATCAACAAACTGGTGTCCAACCAGGATAATCGTATCAAGATATCGATGTCAAATATTGATATAGTGATCTTTGTATCACGATACCAACATCAAGTCGTGATACTGCAACGTTGTTATGGACATGCCAACATGGGTTAGTGACATCAAAATCTCAGTAAAATTACCCTGGCGTCAAATTGTGATGTTGGTATTGACACACCGGTGATATCATGAAATGGTCGACATTAGCCTAAAATGGCTAACAGCCATCTGGCACCATTAGACTGACCACGCGGTGGCATCACCGTGATGTTAGCAGCCGGCGACACGCTGACATTGTTGAAAGCAGAGACGTGGACTTGGAAGGCGGAGTTGGACAGCAGTAACCTGATGGGCGGCCGTGGTACGCTGAGGACCTCCCGGGGAGGCTCCCCTGACACTTTGGCCACAGACACATTAAAGCCGTCATGTCCCTCCAAGAACTGAAAAGAAAATCAAAATCTGTTTATATGAACGAAGGTATGTTTGTTTGTTTGTTTTTTTTTAAACTTTGTTTCAATATATATTAACATTCATATGCTAAACTAAGCTGTGCTACATTGTTATGTTTTGCTAAGATAATGCTGTGCTATGCAATACCGTTATGCTGTGATGAAATTATGCTAGCTATCCTATGCAAAGTTATGCTTTGTCAAATAACTATACCGTCCATGTCAGCGAGATAATTCTTTGTCCTCCTCTGTCGGCCATCTTGTTTTCCATTACGTGGAGGCCGAGTGGCGGACTGGTCAGCTCTGATGATGCGTGAATCAATATTAATAATAGTCATAATGACACATGGGGTTTATCGTGTACCAAAGATGATGCTTCACCCGGCGGGAGCGTGTAAACATGACTCCATGGACACTGAGAGCACTTGTCGTTGATCTCGCAAGCCACTTGAACCTCAAGCACCGGCAAGCCTTTCACACCCGCCAGATGACACCCGGCGGCACCCTGGCAACACGTCTACACCGCAGGGGGAGAAAAAAAATGTTCGAGATGGCATCCAGATCTTAATATTAGGGTAAGCCAAAAGTAGCAATGAACTTCCTTCCTCACTTCCTTCAATCCTCTACCTTTTCCTTCAGTTTCTTCCTGCATTTCTTCCTCTTTCTCTCACCCGTTATTTTGAGAACTGTACACCTACTTTTAACCACTCCACAGTGTACACAATCACTGAATAATTGTACCTAGTGGAGTGTCCAAAGCGTGCATGTTTTTTTGGTTTTTGATGCAAACTACGTAACGTAGCATGACACACATAAAATAAGTTTGATGGAGCCGATAAGCCAAAGAGGAAGCTGCCTTACCACAGCAGCGCAAAAAAAAACTGCTAGAAAATAAGCAAGCAGAAAACAATGAGGCCAAAATATGACAGCCATAACACAACAGCCATCATGTCGTTAGCAATATCGTTGACTTGGTATCGACTGCCGACATCGAATGCCGTCTGTGTCAGTTCATAAAAAATCACAGCGATACCGTCTTCTCTGTATCGATACACCAGCTTTAAGTTTTGATATCGTGCTCTCCGTGTCAATGCACCTGCATCAAATTTTGAGTAGAAAATAACAAGATATTGAAAAAGGAAAATTGTTAGCTATTAAATCAACCTGGTGCCATTGTCCATCGTCATGGCGATGGGGGTAGTCACGGTGGTCTGTGACCTCTTTGTGACGCACGCAGACAGATGTGATGACCTTGGCGTCGTCCGGACTCCACTGAGCTCCGACGTTGACCCAACCGTGCGAATGACGCCTAAAAGTGACGCGTCGCGGTGGACCGCAGCGCACTGAAACACGGCGACCGTTAAACATAACAGACATGACCTCCGCCCCCCCCCCTCCCAAAAAAAAGTCAGTGTAAATGAAAGTTGGCAGAAGAACCTACGGAGGTTGTTGTAATGCGTTGTGACGATATCTTTGGAGCATTCGGATCCGATCTGTTCCAGAACCTCCACGGTCAAGTTATGTTTGAACACTCGGATGTTTGTCAACGTGTCCTCCGTGGTCTTGTACACTCTACAGTATCGGTCTTTCCTGATGGAAGTCACAAAGCTTTCAATCAAAATCTTTGCTTGTTAGTCTTTTTGTGCTCTCTGTTATTTTGAAGTATTTTGTGGACTTGATTTATTTTTTTATAGTTTTTTTTTTAATCGTTTTTGTAATGTATATGCTGTTTTGTAAAATGTGTTTTTTATGATACTGTCGTTCTTATACGGTTTTTATTTTATTTATTTATTTTTTGGGGGAGGCTGTTGTTTTTTTGGAGGTGGTGGTGTTGTATTTGTTTTTGACAATTCAGCACCACTTACTTTTGCCGGATAACAAGGGTGAACTTCGCCTGCTCTTCCCTGGCTGCTCCACGTCTCCAATGACATGTTATCAAACCCTGAGAGTGAAATTTTCCAAAACATTCCATGCCAGCAACACCACCTGACCCAAAAATAAAACATTTAAAAAGTAACTTTCAGTCCACAGCCTGACTTTTTGGGTGATGACTCGTTAGTTACCCGGCAAGGCAAGGCGGCAGTGCTTGTACTGGGATGTGTGATTATCCGACCTGCAAGACACTGAAACAACACCAAAACATCATTATGCCTATATGCTAAATAAGAGGCGTATACATTAAAGCTAGTGCAGCTACACTACATCAGTGGTGGATAACCCATTACAGATTACACCAATATATTATTACGTGAGGGGTCTACAGACGTCAAATGTGACGCAAGAAATATTGCATTGTTGAGGTGCATGACATTTAATATGATCTGAATAAATGTAAAATATGTCAACGGTACAGTCATGTCAACATGATACATCAGAGGAGTAGATCGATAAAATACAGTACAGTTGTGGTGTATAGACATTAAATGTGTCAATCCGATGAATTAGAGGTATATTTGTGTGGGTGCGGGTGTATGGTACCCAGACATTAAACACCAAAGCCCACCTGGTTTAATCTGTCCTGACGAGCACACCACGCATGACTCCAGAATCACACCTGAGACCCCCCCCCCAAAAAAAAATAAAACCAAACAAATCCAAAAGTTATGTATATATGTATATAATTTAAAAAAATATATATTTGTATTTATATAATCATGAATGGGCTGCAGGAAATGAATGTGACTCACCAATGAGAAGAAGTCGAAGCTGGCAGTGTTTGAGAAGCTCACACAGACGTCCAAACATGCTCCTGATCATGACAACCACACCTAAACGAACATACAAATACAAATTATGATAAGGTCAAGGAGCAAATCCATAGAGTACGTATATGTGAGTTGAAAAGCCATGTGAGTGTGCAGTTTGGATGAAGAAGTTGACTCCCCTGTGTCACAGGAAGTCCTTCAGGCTTCAATGACTTACTCAAATGATTAAATGAAAAAAAAAAAAAATCAACCTGTCAGTCAACATCTTTCTCTTACTCTGTTGCGTCTTAACACATCCCACATTTTTTCTCCTTAATGTGTCATCGTTGACTGGAAACAGTTCAAAATTGTTGCTGTTTAAATTTAAAAAATGATTTAAAAAAAAAATCCCCTTTCTCTATCATACTCGGTATCTGTCAGCATCGTGTGAGGAAAACGTGGGTTTTGACACCCTTTCAAATCTGCTTTACAATCAACGTAGGCAAGACTATTGAGTCCACGAAAGGGAACATTGTGTAAAAAAAAAAAAAAAAAAAAACCCAAACAAAACCCTTCAATCATGAAAATAGATACCCACGTAAATATTTGTCTGAAAATGAAATGAATGGACTTGTACATGAAACCAACCATGAACACTACATTGTCCAAAGGAGGAATACACTTTCAACACTTGAGAAAGGGCCTTAATATGTCAAAATAAAAGAGCCATGTGTGGTCAAGCCTTTGCAAAATGTTTTGTATTGGAATGTATTGAAAATCTGTTAGTCATCCGACGTGGTCCCTGGTGGTCTAGTGGTTAGGATTCGGCGCTCTCACCGCCGCGGCCCGGGTTCGATTCCCGGTCAGGGAACTTAATTTTCGTTTTTTTTAATTGTTGTAATTTAGAACGAAAACATTTTAGTACAATTCAGAGTATTTAACCTCTCGCGTTCTGATCGAGTGGAGGCCGTTTGATATACTATTTTAAAACAATCAAAAAGCCTATCTCCCCGTCGGGGAATCGAACCCCGGTCTCCCGCGTGACAGGCGGGGATACTCACCACTATACTAACGAGGAGTAAATGCGATCCTCCTATTCAGTCATTATCAACAGGTAAAGCTTATACTTTACCGATGAATTACAATGTTGCTTATATGTCGAGTTCATGTAAGGGCTACAATTGATGATACTTTTAAGACCCGACATTGCTTTGTGTGTAGAGTTAAGGTAAGGGTTAGGGGTATGTATGAACTGCAGTCTGGGTGTTGGTAGTTCAATGGGTGATTTCTCGCCTGCCACGTACCCACCAAACCCCAACTAAATACAGCACTTGGTCACACTGCAGGTATTTTTTACTTCTTGTAAGATATTGTCTGCAAATATTTATAAGCATTGGTGGTTCAGTGGTAGAATTCTCGCCTGCCACGCGGGAGGCCCGGGTTCGATTCCCGGCCAATGCAACCATTGTTTTCACTTTTTTTGTGATTTTGATTGGCCACTCTAAATTGTCCCAGTGTGAATGTGAGCACGGATGGTTCTTCGTATATGTATGCCCTGCGATTGGCTGGCAACCAGTTCTGGTTGTACCCCGCCTACTGCCCGAAGACAGATGGGATAGGCTCCAGCACGCCCGTGACACTAGTAAGAATCAAACCACTTCACATGATGGATGGATGGCGTTATATCGTGGAAGGGTTGGAGTTAATAGAGTTCGGGTTATCGATATACGCTTTAAGCGCAGCGTTATATAGTACTTTTTTTTTACTGCTACAACGCCCGTGACACTAGTAAGAATCAAACCACTTCACATAATGGATGGATGGATGGATGGCGTTATATCGTGGACGGATTGGAGTTAATGGAGTTCGGGTTATCGATATATATTCAAGACACAAGCAAAAATGCACTTCCGCTTCAAGCGCAGCGTTATATAGTATTTTTTTTTCATGTTACAATGTAAGCATTGGTGGTTCAGTGGTAGAATTCTCGCCTGCCACGCGGGAGGCCCGGGTTCGATTCCCGGCCAATGCACAGACATTTTTTCTAACTTTCAATCAAGTACAAAATTGTTTGGAGCTTTTTTAACCACTGCAATGCAGACTTCAGAGGTCCCACCAAGACGGCATTTGATGACGTCATCAGTTGGGTCGCCGATCTTCGACATGAATTCTACACAGGTGTGTCGGAACGCTTGGTCGGATACCGTGTCCAACCGCACTGACATTAAAGGAAATACAAGAGAAAATAGAATCGACTAACGCAGATACTTTAACCCGTGACTGTTTGACGCCACAAACACAGTTTCACCATCAACGTCAAGTGTCATCGAATCCATTCAAACAACAACGATTTCAACCCATGGTGAGTGCGCGTTGATATTTTCCTTCGCCAGCATCTTATTGAAAACGTCCGAAAAGAAGGCAACTGATGGAAACAGCAACGTGTTTTTGAAGACGGAACATTGTAGTGTCCACTTGATGTGATTGACTGTTTATAAAGTGGATCGCGTGACAAATTGACACGATTACTTTGTATTAAGGAGCTTCGATGTGGCTACGTGTCCGGATGTTTTAGATGTTACGATGAACGCTTAGCGGTGATTACTGAACAGAGAAACGGAGAATTGACGTGACAGATTATTGAAACGGATGCAGTTGTGGCATAAATTGCGAGATGGATGTCTGACGTGCATGTATGTATGTACATGTGACGATGAACGCTTGTAAATGTCAAGAGTAGATGAAGTGAGCGGAAACGTACGAAACTCTTGTGTTCAGTTTGTTGATTGCATATCGAGATACAGACGCTGTTCGTTGAATAACGAGCGAGCCTACTTTAATAAATTCGCTGTTCACAAATGATAAAAATGGGGATTTTGACTGAACTGTACAAATTGATGATGTTAAGTAAAGCACAACTCAAAATGCCTCGAAGTTGAAATGAAAGAATGTCGAAAATAATTCCAATCATCTCTGCACTGAAAAAAAAAATGGCTGGTGACAAAAATAAACCATCAGAACCAGATAAAGTGAACCCCAAACCAGGTGCTCTTGAAAAGAGAAAACGCAAAGTAACCGAAAAGGCCCTGAAGAATAAAATAGAGGGACTAGTGAAGCAAAGAGCTGCTAAATAGAGACAAATGACATCAAAGATGAATTACATTGAAGCTTTTATCTAAGTGACATATGACAACTTCGAAATAATCACACAATCATACAGTGAGTTCAATAAAATCACTGTGGAATTTGCAGCCCCTCCAAAAACATTTTATGAATTGCTCTCAGAGGAGGAAAGGGATGCGGATCACACGACCTGGTGTCTGCCCAAGGCTGCTCAACTCCATGAATTTGGGGCGGGCCTTAGGAAATGGCATCTTTCAACCATCCCCAAAGTCTCGTAAGCCAAAGATTGACCCCCAAGTCCGCCAAGTATTGTATTTCCGGTGTGAGCATCTTCTCACATGTGCTCCTCAACTCGGGATGGATGTCTTTCCTCACGTTATATCCCAGGATGGACTTCACTCCCAGGGGCTGCCAGGGCAGGAAGCGGCGGTCTCTGATGCGTAGCGCCTCCACCGCCTCTCCACCTTCCAAGCACAATGCTCTCATCTCGGCGTTTCTCCTTCGGAGCTCGGCCACATCCCGCTTCATCCTCTCCCGCCCGTACACCTCCACCTTGTCCCACAAGGTGGCATTGAAGTGTCGGTAGAGCCTCCAGTCAGCGCCATTCCACCCCAAAGCCCTGGCCCTGGATTCTGGGGTCAGACGAGAGACGGATGCGCTCATGCGAGCATTAAGTTTGAAATACAAAATATCCTCCATGCTCCAGCAAAGCGTCTCCTTCAGGAGGATGAGCGACTCGTCAAAATATTCCGCAATGAGCACCAGGTGGAACCTTTGGGACAAACTCTGAATGGCCTCCGTCACGTCGGGATGGTCCGCGTCCAAGTTGTTGTCCGAGCCCAAGTCGAATAAGAGCAAGTTCTTCAAGTAGAAAGCGTTGTAGGCGTGAGCCCTGTAGTAGGTCCGAGGACTCCTGAGGAACTCCTCCAGTTTGTCGCGGCCACCTATTTTCCAAGTAAAGGGCACAGCCCTGTGGTAGTAGTGGAAGGCCGACTCCAGGACGCAGGCTGGATGGCGCAGGATGGTGACATAGGTGGCGTCGGGAGGCAACAGCGCCGCCACCTCAGCGGGTTGCAAGCGCATGTGGTTACACACTACGTTGAAGCACTGGCCGGGTCGGTAGCTCTTCACTTGCCAGCGGCGGAAAGGCGACGGGTAGAAGAAGTCATTGCGGCCGTCGGGGAAGGCGAACTTGAGTTTGTGTTTTTCTCCGAAGCGGAAGAGGATGTTGAGGAGAGTGCTGCTGGCTGTTTTGTGCGTCTTCAGGAACATGATGTTCCCCGAAGGAGCGCACGTGTCCGTCTGGAGCCTTCGAGAAGGCCGGGGAAGGTTCTCGTTGAATGGTTTGCCCAAGTTGAGGGTACAAGTGTCATCTCTGGAAGAAAAGCACAAGCCCCCTTTTACAAAGCGAGCCATCTAAATTGCTATATTATAGAATATTGTACTTATCGAATCCGTAGCTGCTAAACGTTCGGCCTATTACAATTTTTTTTTTTCTCCATTACCTGATGTCCACTTGCGTTGGCAAAGTCAAGCGATATACGAGAACCATGATGTTGGTCAATAGAAGCCAAAGAATGAGGCCTCGCGTTACAGCGGTGCGCTTGTTTCCTGCTACGTGCAACATTTTGAAGTCCAATAGGAAATCCTGAAACGACATTTGATCATTAAAAATAGCCTGGAATATATGAATCGTATAGTGGGCTAACCCTATAAGGGGAGCGAATCCAGGAATAGATAAAAGAAGAGCACTGCTGAGCTCAATGAAACACAACCCCCATGTTTACACTTTCAACATATTTATAGTTGGAGAGGGAAAAGAGCCATGTTTAACACCACACTATAGTGACTTCATATCAGGTTAAAATATCCCAAATAGGTTATCAAAAAGTTGTTTTGGCTATTGACAAATACATTTTGATCAACGTCGTCTCCCTCTGTGATAACTCTCAGTGAGGGTCTTGGCACATTTAATGAAAACAACGCCTCCACCCTCGTGAGGAAGAGCGGCTGGGATAAAGGATGAATGGATTTCCATTTGCCTAAACTAGCATTAGCCATATATTAACCAGAGAAGACGTTTATTTACCTGCATATGAGCGCCGACGCGTTATCAGGTGGTCGTGACTGAGGGAAAATGGGTCAAACATTCCTACATTGTCCTGTCAATGTTCATTGATTGGCTGACACCTAATGACAAAGCACCACAGGCTCCTCCCCTCCCATATTTTTCTCACTACTTTAGTCAATGAACGCCCACCACATAGTTTGACAATCATACTTCAGATATGCTATGCTCTACTAATTCGTATATTCTGGACTGCATCGAGAAACGCGGATTGCCGAGCACCAAACCAACATGCGAACCCCCAATTTTGCTCATTATTATTTTTCATGGATTTAGAAAAAGCAAATTATCTTGTTTCAGTAGTCCAGATGTGAGACAGTGTAGTTTAGATTTATTTATTTTTACTCTTTAAGTATAGCAACTATAGTACACAATACACTTCAGTGGCTTGGTGTCAACAAAGGGGGGGGGGCAGATCATCATCATTGTTTCATGAATGATTCACACGTTTAATTTTTTTTCCAAGTTTTATTCTCGTTTCAATTAAAAGGAATATCTTAACAATTGTACAAAATTCTGATCAACCGGTCGATAGAGCACACGCCAAGTTACAAACATTCAATGTGCCTCATTGCAACATCATTTGATTTCGTTCCATACTCTCTTGCACAAATGAATAAATAAAACGTGTCGGACCGTTATCTTTGTGTGATAACGTCTAATTGGCTCTTGTGCTACTGTGTGAGAAATGACGGGAATATTTGTACCTATATGCTTCGAGTGAAAATGGAACATTTCATCTCCTCTTTAGCTCACGGACATCACTGTGCAACAAATTCAAAAAACAAACAACCGTATGTTTGTGCCCAATATAAATCGGCACAATAATTACACTCCGCACTGATTACACGTACAATTCCCTGCGTCGCAAATGTTGTGCGTACACTTTTAAGGCATGTTGGGGTGAGAGTTAGAGAAGTTTCCAAAAAGTCAGCTTCCACTTCCTTGTCATACTGACTTAAGCCGCTGATAATTGCTTTTACGACAAACACAAGGCCGATGAGGACCTAACTTTTGTCTCTATTTTCTTACCCACGAGTTTATAAACAATACGGGTACCCTTGCTGTAATGTAGTCCCGCCACCAGCCCAAGATGGGGGAAAGGGAGGCCCATGCTCAAGATGGCAGAATGCCGGCAGCAACTGGTGATCCCCCAACTCAGTAGACAGGCTTGTAGAATATTTGCCCCCCGAGCATGCGCCGCTTGAGCTCCTTCCACAGAAGGCTGCGCTCCCGCTGGGAGCCCTTCATGAAGCCGCGGTTCTCCTGAGCGCGGCGGGACAGGTACGGGATGACCTCATCCACTGGCCCGTACGGGACGTATTTGTACACTGGGAAACCCGCCTGACCTGAGGACATAAGTTTTGGTTGAGTCACACCGCCCATGAGGCCAATCGCTGCTTTTAACTGTTTGCGAGTGGATGACGCACTTCACTCTCGCGCGAAAACAAACACAACAGAACATGTGGAAAAAAATGTCATCGGCAAAACAAAATGAGGGAATTTGCCCTCTCGTCCAAAAGTCAGCCGAACGAATGCCCGTGTGTCCCGATACATTTTTTCCTAGCGAGTGTAGGTGTCCCCAAAAAATCGGGGTGGTCGCGACACAAACATCCCCAATGGGTGTGACAAATAGGAACATTTGTCCTAACACCACAAGTGGATCATAATTCAGTTTTTGAAGCAAAAATGGTTTGCAACATATCTTCTCTCAAAGTCCAATTTGTGAAACATATGACATTTATGATCCTTAAGTAAACACTGCTTTCAAGATTATTTATGACAAATTCATTTTGTTTTGGCTCTTAATGACACCCCCAAATCATGAAAAAAGATTTTACCTTGTTTTTTTTAAAAATTCAAAATAACTAAACATTACATAAAACTCATATACATTTAATTGTGTGTCAGACTTCCATTAGCACATTTATAAATGAAGTATCAGAGTTCTAAATTGTGTGCAGGGTAAGGTTCCACGTGCTGCGCTTACAAGAGCATCACTGGAACTGATAACCTCCTGTACCGAGATATCTCCAACAGGCCCCTTTATAAGACGTCCCGTCCACCTTTTTGTCTGAAGGTTCAACCGCTTCAAAGACCACCGAGCGACTTTTGGCGCCGGCGGTCACATAACGGCGTGACGCAAGCCTCCGTATGTTTATTGTTAGTATCAGTGAGGGACGTCGGGGTTAGGACATACCGAGTGGGAAGCTGATCTGGTCACACATGCCGAGCAGCTGTCCAAAGTAAACTTTATTCTCAGCGGGTGACAGGCCCATCTCATTCATCCTGGGGGTGGTGGGGGGGAAAAACACGTTTGTTATGCAACGCCGGACGCAGACGTTCGGAGCGCTTGTCGAGACTAAAACAAACTTCTCCAAGGTGAATTCCACCGTGTCCTCGTTGTGAGTGGCGACCATGATGTTCGATTTGCGTTCGTGCTCAATGTCCTCGAGCAGGTACTCCAGACATCTGCGATTAAAAAATAAAAACATAAGGTTAAGAAATGTACCAAAGACCTCTTACCAGAAGGGACCGCTCACTTGTGGTACATCCTGTTGGTGGCCTCATAGTCGGGATTGATGGGATCCTCGTAGCCAATCTCCGCCGCCCGGGCTCTTTCCTGGTACATGTAGGCCCCGCGCACCAGCTTGGCACCAAAGTACCAGCCCTCCCGCCGAGACAACTCAACGTCCACCGTCACGTTGTCATAGGCCTCCTGGAATCATTTAGGGTTGCTAAGCGCAGACACCGAAGACCTAGCTAACCACCGACCCACCTTGCTTCTTGTCTTACTAGCTTCCTGGCGACCTAGCCGTCTGTCTCTCAGTTCCAAACACAACCCAGCCGTGTTATCTCCACATCTAAACGACCCAACCAGTGTCCTTCCATCAATCCACTCGCCCACTTACCTAGCCACATACCTACAATTTTCGTAACCTTCCTACTTATCGACCTAGCCACCAACTTACCTTTCTTCTAAACTTCCGAGCTACCCGTTAGCTCATTCACCGCCATTGACGGCTATTCAAGTGAAAAGCTCTGTTTTGATACCATGGGCCGGCAGTGGAATGAGTTTTAGGCAACCTGTGTATGTCGTTCACTGAACCATCCGCGTTAGTGATGTTTCAATGGAAAAAAAATGCAGAATTTAAAGGAGAAACTTGTCAGGCTGTACACGACTGTTTCTATCGGCCCAATAAGTCAGTCAGCGATCTGACCTTCAGGTAGCACTGATACGTGTTGAAGATGATTGGCTTCTCCGTGTTGAACTTCCTCTGCATTTCCAGGGTCAGCCGGCTGATCGCGGGCTGGAAGTACGTCTGCTCGGCATCCACCATGAGCCGCACGCCGTGCTTTAAGGCATGCTGACGTCACACAAAAAAAAGAGGAATTGAAACGCTGAGGTATTCATGACAAGACAGAAGTTCAGTTTATCTGTCCTCACCTTGGCCAGGACGTCAACTCTCTGCAGCATTCGCTTCATTTGCCGCTCTTCCTCAGCTGTGAATGTGCTTAGCAGAGGCTCCAGCTGGCCCGTCTGTCAGGTAAAAAAAAAAAAAAAAAAAAAAATTAAATCCTCATATCACCTATGTAGAAATGTGTCCTTCAGAAAATGATTCCGCATTTTATGGCTTTTTTTAAAAAAAAAAAAATCAATTTACCTGAAGATTTGGCACCATGAGAAGATTGGAAATTTTGGTTGTGTCGTCTATCAAACTGTTCCAGTCGAGCAGATCGATGGTTCTGGAAATAAAGACGAATGGAGAACAAGGATGCATTGAAAATTTGTCATCCAGGGACCATGTAAAATGGTTTCTTTTTAATATTTCAAGCTACTCTTACCCCGACAGTCCCAGTTGCTCTCCAGTGAACCAGCTCTCAATGTCATCCTGAGCAGCGACTCCCAGGCTGGTCAAAGTCTCCTACAAAAACATATTCTCATGAGAAAAAAAAACAAATGCACTCACACATTCTTAGAATAAACATCCTTTTGACCCTCACCTTGAGTTGTCCCGGCTCCAGTTTTTGCTCGAGGGCCGTCATTTCTGATTTTCCCTGCTGGGCTGCCAAGAACTTAAAGAACTGCTTCCATTTGACCAAGACTTCAGAAAACTGGAGCTGTGCACAAAATTGGATGGGGATATCTGTCAGAACTGAACATACCAAAAAAATGTAATTTAAAAAAAAAAAAAAAAAAGTCATGACCAATGCTCCGTCAGCCATTTTAGTTTGAAGCAGCCATTTTGGGCAATTTTCAGGGCTCATATTGTTCCAAGTAGCATCATTTGAAAGCAAGTATGCGAGGCAGATGGGCAAAGTTGTTATTTTTTTTAATAATGAGTTGAGTTTACTCACACCGCAGAATGTTTGCAGCAAGATCCTCGGTTGGTTGTTGTGGTGGATTTTGATACTTTGACACGATATCTGGTAGCAGCTCTTTCTGCTTCTTGTCATTGTAGTACAATAACAAGATACTGTATCTGATTTTATTTTGTAAGGCGACGATAACACACTCTGTAGTGAACTTGAAATCCATTTAAAAAAAAAAAAAAAAGTGGCACCCACTTAACCGTACCGCCGAGAGATAATTCCCCAGATAAATGGCCAATGATTGACTGCCGTAGTGAGATAAACCGTCATTACCGAATGAGATAGTCGTGAGGCAATTCCATAAATGCATTTTGGTGAATATGGAGGACATTGTGTTCCACTCACAAGGAACTGCGGGCGTCCCAGGGCTGTCATTTTGATGGCTGAGAAGCCATCTGCCGAAGCTCCACCTGAAAGTTCAGCCGCACATTCACGCTGTCGTCCGTGTAGTTCTGATCCGGTTGCTTACTTAGAATTTGTCATTACCTGAGGCTTTGATGCAGTTGATGAACGTTTCCATCTGGTTGTCGCATTTGACCTCGTCGGCGTAGAAATATGTGCGGGCGCTAATGACGCCGCCGCGTCGGTCGCCGAACTGCCGATGGGCCCTGTACTTCTTCTCGCGGTGAGCAGCATCTAGAGGGGTGAATGGAGGAGACGCATGCGATGCTTACGAAGGCGGAGGCTTTTTTTTTTTGGAGTACGAGTCAAGTATTAATATAGCATCTGAATTTGAAATGAGGAAAAATGATGTGAAGGGGCGCTACCAAGTCTTAAGTCTCAGTATGCTTGTATCTTGGCCCATCTCTGTTTTTCAAAGTTTGGTGATCTTTTAAAAGATTTGCCATGAAAACTGATGGCTTCTCGCAGTTTTAATGATTGAAGTTGCAGTTTGCATTGATTGAAACCGACTTGAGATGTGGCCACTATTTTAGTAAAGGCAGAAGATATGAGACCACTTTCTCCATGTAACCCGAAGCACACTACTTCTCAGAATCAGAGTCCAAATATAACCTATAGCAGGACCATATATTATGGCACGCCACAACATACCATAGCCTGAAAAGTTGTCTGCACAAACTCTCCAGGAACACAAACAGACCAAGAACCAGTCTACACCACTCACTTGGACTTTCTTTCTCGGCTTGGGACACACAGGAACTGCGAAAAAAACAAAGCAAAAGAAAGATCATCACAATCGATGAAAACAACTATTATTAAAGCCATAGCTGCTATCAGCGTTGTCCTCAAGCCAAAAGAATTTGACGCATTGTTTTTTTTTATTCCAAAGGACGACCGCAAACGGTTAACACTCGCACGAGTCGGGACAAACCAATGAGAAGAGAGGGGCCTGTCCTGAATAGCCAATAGTGCGCGAGCTCATGGGTAGTCACTGATTTGTGTCAACACGTTTGTTTGTGTTTTATTTTAATCGTGGCACAGCAAGCGGAACATGCAGCATGTGATGATGACGAATAGGAGGAAACATTGGGGGCATGAAGGAGTCATGGAGTCATATCATTGAAACGCAAGATAAGATGGGGGGGAGCGGGGTTTGGAGC